GTGCATCAATAATAATAATAATCATAATAATATGAATTAAGCGTACGCAAGGGGTTTTCCCCACAGTTTCAGTTCAGTTGGTTAGACATATTTCTGCAGTTGTTTCGGGTACAGTCGCACAGAATTTTCCAGCTACAGGGGTTGGAGTCATCGAATCTTTTCTCGAAATGCTCCCACATCCGTTGCAGCAACCGTCCTTTGAGTCCTATCGTGTTCATAAAGTCCACTTTATGAGGAACCAAATTAGCCAGCCTCTTTGCATGAAACCAAAAATTTTTTTCACAAACAAATTTTGCAGGGCGTGTACATTCAAATAAACGAGATCTTGTATTAGCTAGGTCATTTTTAGGCGGAAAACGGTCAGAAAAATTGTAGTCGTAGTGATTATTGAGGATTTTAGATAGTAGAAGTAAATTATTGAGCTGAATGTACATGGGTAAAGGCAGTATTCCTAGACGCTGAAGCGACGTTTTGTAATTAGGATCTGTTGCAATCCATTTGCATGCATTGCGTTGAACACCTAAGAATTTCATTTCTTCGACGTTCAATTGATAGCACGCTGAACCGTATAGCAAAACTAGAATTACCATGGATTTGAACAGATTAAGTTTGGTCTTGGTATTAAGAGGCAGTAGGTTGCGCTTAAGCATGCAGTGTTGAGGGCTTTTCCTCTTCTAAGTTTAATATGCGATGTCCAGCCTAGATTCGATTTTACAATTATTCCTAGGTCTTTTTCTTCTGAGACTTTAATTAAAATTGAGTCGCTACTTGTGGGACGTTTAACCGGTAGGTGAGTGCATTTTGACGCATTGAACGCAATCTGGTTTTGTTGAGTCCACGTGAAGATGTTATTTAGGTTATTCTGAAATTCTGCGTTAAGTGTACCAATTCGTAGGAACTTTGCGTCGTCTGCGTATAGAAAGCTGGTGGAATGATTACATACACTTGGTAGGTCGTTAATCATGACAAGAAAAAACAATGGCCCGAGGATTGATCTTTGAGGAACACCGCTTGTGATATAGAATGATTGGGACAGACAGTCTTTGATTTTGACACACTGTGTTCTATTTGTCAGGTAGTTATAAATTAGCTTTAATATTTTGCCTCTGATTCCCAACGAGTAGAGCTTATCAATCAGAATACCGTGATCTACTTTGTCAAAAGCTTTCTCGAAATCGGTATATATTACGTCTACTTCTTCATTTTTGTTTATAGCTGAATATATGGTATCAAGATAGAGCAGCATTTGGATGGTCCCTGACCTTTTCGCGCAAAATCCGAATTGGTTGTTGTGCAACAAGGGTTCTAGATGTTTGTATAGATCGATGAAAAGAACTTTTTCGAAGATTTTGCTGGCAATATTAAGTAGTCATATTGGTCTGTAGTTACTTATCGAGGCCTTGCTTCCTTTCTTTTTAAAAATTGGGCTGACAATAGTGTTTCCATTGATCAGGGTAACAAAGGTCTGGAGTGCTTTATATAAGATATGGTAGAGAGGGCGTTAAAGATTCATTACAACGCTTAAATTAAACAGGAGGTAGTAGATCGGGACCTCTCGACTTACTTAGATCTAGATCATTACACAGTTTGGCAATCAGATTCCTGTCTGGTTCTATATTATGAATTATTTGTTTAACTGATCGCTCTTGTTTTTCAAGACAGGATGGTTGAGAAGAGATTATAAATGCTGAGTTAAAAAACTTGGCGAATAGATTAGCTTGCTCTGGCAAGGTTTTCGCAACTGAATTATCAAGTTTCATGACGGAAGGTAGTTCTGAGTTACGGAACTTTCTATAGTATTTAAACAGGGATTTAGTATCACGCGAGTTAGACAGATGTTGTTCGTATTCGCTTCTGTTATTCTCTACGGCGGTTTGTACCTTTTCATTCATTGCAATCACCGAGGCACATTGCGAACCTTTTTGTTTGCGTAATGTTGACAGACGTTTCATTGAACTTGACGTCTCAGGAGTTATCCAGGGAGGAAGATTTTGTCTATGTTGAGTTCTACTCGGGATGAATTTTGGCAGAAAGCTATGAATCCGTTCGTAAAATAGTCAACTATTTTTGTAACATTTGACCAGCAGTAACATGAGAAGTTGTGGATTGAAAACGCATCGTTTAAACCGTTGAAGTCAGCTTTGCAATAGCTATAGAAACTGTTTTTACTAACTGTGGAGCTTTTCTCGAGTTCTTTTATGCGGATTATTGAGTTAATAGGTTAGTGATCAGATTTTGGTGCAGTAAATACGTCGAGTGGTAGGGTGTCGATTATTTCAACCTGGTTGCTAACAAGGACTAAGTCAAGTATATTAGCGTTCGTTGTTTTGAAATGAAGAGTTTGAGTTAAGCTTAATTTATCTATTTTGTCAAGTATACATTGATGGAGCGGTTCTGAGGTTTGAATGGACTAGTCAATTGAAGAACGATTAAAGTCTCCGTTTATTATACGATGATTTGCATTGCAGTTCGACAAGAAGTCCATTAGCTGACGAATATGGAAGGGCTCCAAATAACATTTGCTGTTAGGAGGGGGAAATAGCATGTGGTAATTAGTAATGTGTCTTCGGAAGATTCCCAGATTATAGCGGTGCAATAACCTTGAAATTGGTCAGGAAGAGAGATTTCATAGCATTTTATTGCAGACTTTGTTGCAATAAGGACCCCACCGTGGGCTGTTTTTTCATTTTGTTTGGTGTTTCTGTCAGAACGAAAGATTGAAGCCAGGGAGGAATAGTTCGGAGTCGATGATGTTAATTGTGAACCATGTTTCGCTTAAACAGATGATGTCAAAGTTGTTGGTGAAGACAAAGTTTGATAGAGATGTGCGCCTACTTGAGTTCACTAAGCTTCGGGTATTAAAAGTAAGAATCGAATAATCAGTAAATTGGTCAGTTTCGTAACTCAAAGAAAGTCATCATTCACTTAAACCTACTACTGCTCCATCTAGGAAGAGTCCTAAATTACGAATTTTTAATCGGCTAGGATCTGTGTTTTCTTCGATCAGACTTCTTTTTTTCAAGATTTTGCGTTCTTGTTCTTGCTCGGTCTTATTCAACGATTTGCTGCGGTACCATCGTATTGCTTCAGTCTGAAGGCACTCGCAAGTGCCTTGTACGCAGTCAATTTGTCGCGAAACTTGACTAAAAATGTTCTTGGTCTTATCGACTCAGGTCTGAATTTTCCCATACGTGTTGCTGATGTTATTGCTTCTTTTTGTATTTCGAGATGTTCCATGATTGAAATCATGGCTTTTTCTTCGTGTTGTATTATGTCTAGCTGCCTGAGCTTCTTTTCAGAGCTTACAGATTCGAACTCCGGTATACCGGAGATCCTCACCTCACATGTTTTATCATCTTCGGAGCTTTTTTGTTTCAACAGTGCTGAGATGTAGCTACCCTTGGAGGTTTCCCCTGCTGATCGCGTTTCTGACATTGCTGAACCTTTAACGTCATCGTACACTTCTGTTATTGAAGTTTTGATAGCATTAAGGTCGTTCTGAATGCTCTCTTTTTCGTTGAACTTAAGTATTAATTCTTTGAGTAGACAAACAATGTTGCCTTTTTTCGTTTTGCTTAGGAACTTGTTTAGATCATCGTCGTGAGCAGACAGGATTTGATCAAGTGAGGGATAGTAGTTCGCATCTACCGAACCAAGGCGCGTCCTGGTCTCATCCATTATATCGATATGGGTCTACTAGGTAATGATTGCTTGCTTTAAGACTTGTTTGCAATGAATCCCGAGAGGGAGACCTATTTGCCAAGCATTACAAACAGCGGAGCGGAAAAAGGAAGGGAGGGGTTTGACTTTAACAGTAGTAGTAGTAGTGTAGTAGTAGTAGGGCTTTTGTGCTCGTAGCACAAGGGGTTTCCCCCTTTCAGTTTTTCGTTCTATAGTGAAGTTTTGCTTCTACAGTCATTCATTGTGCAATCGCAAGCAATTCTCTATGTGCACTTGTTCATTTGTTCGTAGTCCTTCTCAAATTTTCTCCAAAATAACCACAATATTCGCTTCTTCAGTCTGCTTGTTTCTCTCACGTCAATTTTGATCACATTCGCTAGCCGACATGTTTGGTAAAAGAATTCGTCCTCCAAAAATTTCTTTTTCGGCCTCTCGAGCTGAAACATACAACCGCGCGAGGAACAGTGAATCCAGAAAAGGAGACCTATCTGTTAAAGTCGAAACGAGGGCTCTAACCTTATCCCGTGTAGGATCCGCACAGACAACCGGTCGCTCGATTGCACTCGTAAGTGTTGGGTCGTCGCTCGCTGACACTTACAGAATAGTCTTCGTGTAAGACCCGTTTCTTTAAGATGCTTCTTAGTCCACTCAAAGCTGACTCGTTGAGGTGGACGTAATCTCGCTCGGTGACGTGGTTCTCACAGTAAATCTGTTCAGATAGGCCTCGGAAAACCCAACGAGCGCCAACTGCTTGTTTTTCTATCTTTCGATTTACTGCGAAGTGTCGGATGAGATCGTGGTCCTGAATCGATTCGCGTTCGGCTTCAGGGGGATATCGAGCGGGAATGCCAAGTACAAAGACACATTCGCAGACGTGGAGCAGATGGTTTGCTAGGCTGACTATACGATCAGTTACTTCCTCTACGCTTGCCGTAGACGGTAGATAGCCGTTTCCGCCCGCGAATTTACAATTTTGTCGTATTGACCTTTTCCTGGCACAAACCTGTACAGCTCGTGAATTTGAGCTCCGGGTAACGAGAGGATGTTGATGTTGCTAAATTCTAAACGTCTGGCTTGTGAGTCTGCAATCAATATGCTTCGGATAGGGCTATCCTTGAAGATATGGAATCGCATTAATACTATAGGGACCACCACGGCTGTTCCGTATCAATCAGTTATCTATTTAATAAGTTTATCACAAAAATTAGGCTAAGACTTTTAAGACTTTTTCCTGAAACAAAAAATCAGCAAGACCTATACAAGAGTCTTCACTACGTTCATTACTCTAAAACAATTACAGAAGTAACTGAAATATGCACCTGGTCACGAAGAGTGCTTTTTCTTTCCCTAATAGTTGAGAAACTTTCTTTTCAAGCTTAGCAACCGTCGGGTCTTCCGAGAAAACGTCATCTCCAACGTCTGCATTAGCCATTGCCTGTCGCATTTCGGCTGTTGGGGTTGTAACAGTATCGCTCCTTTGAGAGGCATCTTTTAATATCTTAAAAACCTCTTCGGTTTAACATTTTTTACTATCAGAAATTCCTGTTTTCAACGTTTCTTAAATACAGATTTTTAGTTTACAGAACTAAACAATTTATAAAATGATACCAATGACATATTAAATAAGAAAAAACACTTTAATTACCATAAACATTTCATTGCTTACTATTATAAGATATATTTTGATAATGTTAATAGATATAGTTACAATAACAACTAAACTTTAAATTAAGTATCCACTTAAGTAATAGCCTATTATTTGCAATAGTTATTTAATCTTCGTAAATATTGATTTGATGATAATTGTAAAAGGTGCCTCAAATCAATGTCGAATTTTTTCACTTCAGTCATTTTGATAACTTGTTGCGAATAAGGCCTGTTGTATAATTCTTTAACGCTCCAAGATAATGTTTTCGGAGATTTAATCAAAACAGAAGACCAATAGAAGATTGGAGCATATCGCATAGTATGAACTTCAAATAAACGGCCAGCAGTTTTATCAAAATTTTTGATAAGGGCAACTGTGAATCATATCTGTGTTTGATATAAGCTAACAATGTGATACTAATCGGGTTTCAGCTCTTTAGAGAATTGTGCTCTGGAAATCAATAGTTTTTCTTTAAAAAAGGGTCAATTAAAATGGGCCCTTCCATCATGCGACGGTACGTTCACAGGTTGGAAAGGGGCCGTACCAACGCTATATAAATACATCGGCAAAATTTTATGATTAAATCAAGTCGATTTTAATGCATCCAGAGAATTGTCAATTAAAATCTACCCTCCTCGATTATAGCACAGATAGAGTTGTCTATGTTGGATACATTTTTAAGATTTTTGCACCCCCTAAGGCAGAGGAGAACTTATTTTTGTTCTTATAAACTTATTTTTTGTTCTGGAAATCAATAGTAGTCTCAGAAAAACTGTTTCATCCCGAATGGTCCTCTTGATCCACAAGTAGGAACCAGAGTTACTTAGCACTTGAAAGAAAAACTAGTCCGAACTAACTTGTTTTTTTCTCTTACGCAATTTTGATTTGTCTTTTATTTCTGCTACTTGAGCGCATCGTTTCTAAAACTTCTAGCAATTCTACGATAGTCGAAGGCAACCGAATTCATCTTCAGAACTCGTCTCATCAGAAATAGCCCAGTAGGACACAAGCACTGAGTTTACACAGAGGCGAAGTTGCACTTCGCAAACACAAGCCAAAATATCACCGATAACGTTACTGGGGAAAACATGAGTCTATATAATTGCTAAATGATGCAGGCCAATTATGAGGCATAAGCAGTACCAGTCAAATTGAAAGAAAAAAAAACAACTAACATGCCTCAATTTAGAGCGGACGGATTTCAACTAGTATACGAAAAAGTTCATTGAAAATGTAACATTCGCCCGGAAGATACATATCGACGGATAACAAAACTAAGTCTTAAGACGACTGGCTAGCGTCTAAACAGAGCTTTGCATGTTTTTCACCGTCTCTACCAAGCCAGTACTTTTCGGTGGTCTTTCTTACATCAGGCTGACAAAAACGCTACTGTTCTCCGGCTTCGACCAGAACGCTCAAATTAACTGAATTACATGCGAAATTAGTGAGCTCATGGCTGGGTCTCTGTATCCCCAGACCACGAGGTCACTCCTAAAAACAGGGCTACTACTTATCATATTACTATTGTTTTTGTTCAGTAGATAAAAATCATCATCTCCATCGAAGATGGATCAACCCTTTCCCCCAACTCCTAGCTTCTCATCCTTATCAAAACGAATCCAGTTGTTAATTAAATTCAATTCAGGACATGACAAGAAGCTAAAAGTTTATATAAAAGGCTAAAAGTTCCAGTCCCGAAACCCTTCCGGATTCTTGAATCCAGTGAATCAAGCTCCTTAACCTCAGGTTCACGCTAACTCGGAGGGCTGGCTTTTACCCTTCACCGTTGTTCGCAACGGCCTTGCAACTATTGTAACAGCACAATAGTTGCAACTCGGAACGTCCTCTGCTGTTCGGTAGTTCGTTGTTGTTTTTTAGTCTCGATTTTCGTACTGTTCGTAATCGCAGATAAAGTTGTTCTGTTTCTTTCTGCTATTTTAGCCAAAATGGCCGTTTTAACATTTCTCAGAAATGTTACGTCATTACTTCGAAAATTTAAAATTTAGAATTCCATAATCTTCTAGCCTTCACCGTTTGGCCAATCGTTCAAATAACGTCCTTATCCGTTCTAAATCGCCAATCCGGAAGGTTCACTGCTAAAATCCTGAATTCTGCAGAGAGTGCATTTTGGCCATTCTGGTCGAATGTCACATACTCCCCGGACAGTCCGGTCAATGTCCTCATTGAATCGCGCAATGTTCTAAATGGTTACAGTGTCATCGAACAGAATTTACAAAATGCACGAAATTACTTTTACCTACGTCACATCGACTCACTGCAGAATATAAATGGCATCATACTACATCACTATAGCCTTCAAATTCTTTCATTAATCTGCACATTGAGGATATGACTTAAGATAAAACATATTTTCTGACTTCCAGTGTCAATATCCCGATTGAAACTTTTTCTCCTAGATTTAAAAGGTGTTGGCTTGCAGGACAGTCCTGCCAACCAACAAGCTAAAATTATCCTACTATGCTCCTTCCCTTCGGAAATCTTGCTTGTTTATTGTCCTGAATATTAAAACCAAGAGACCTCGTGGTTAGAAAGAACAATGCAACAACCTCCCTCCTCAAGAAGTTACTCAAGTTTTTCATGTCACCACAAAGTTATCAGTCTTCCTAAGTGATTAAAAACAATCATGCAGGCTGGAATATTTAAATATACTCTTCCCTCAAGCCTTTCTAAATAAATAATAAGTGAGTGTCTCTAAAGCCACTTCAACTAAAACCAAAATGCAAATTTATAAATGCAACAATTTCCAAACTCAACTAAATGTTTCAGTTTTCAATTACAACTTGGTTGCTTGGTTTCTCACTTGAGTTTTTCACACACATAAAACAATTCTGAGTTTTAACGTTTCTTCATCATCCCTTTGTTCTCTTCTTTTTTCGTCGTTTAGAAGTTCTAAAACTTCTAAATTCTTCTAATTTTCCTTCTTTTTGCCTCTTGTTTTCTCGACCATTCATCAATGCTCCATTTCCTCCTCCTGTGACGCTGACTCTGCACTCTCGGTCTCCGTGTCTTGTAGCACGTCATTGACTATCCTGACGCTGTTGGAAGCCGTCCTCCAACACTTCTGCTCTTCCACCCTCTGTTTACAGCAAGGTAGGGGATCCACGTTTGATTCTCTGTTTCTACAGAAGCTGTTGTGGAGACACAACGTCACGTTTCTCTCCAAATCTTCTTTCAGCATCTCTGCCTTCTCATTTCCACTACGCTCGCTCGTCCTGGAAATTCTTTTCACAGCGGTGGTCACTGCATTCCGATGGGTCACGAAAGCTCGCTTGAAAGCTCCTGCCCCAATGTCCAGCTGATATTCACTGTAAACTCTGCCATGTTTCGACATATGCTTTTTCGCATACTCGTACAACCATGCAGTCATGTTAGCTCTGAACCATGGCATCAATCGTTTTCTTGCCCATATCTTCTTCACTTCCATCGGAATGTTTAGAACTTTGCACATTGTCTCAAAAAGATCTAAATCTTTTAGACAATCTAATTTCTGCAGTTGTTCTCTCGTCGGTGCCTCCTGTCTATTATTTTCTCTCACATGAGCTTCCAGCCATCGTATCGCCATCATAACTCCCACTATCACTATTGTTATAGGCTGTGATGAATCTGGTAAACCCATGGAGAGCAGCTCTCCAGAGTCCCAGATCAACACCAGATTACTACGCTTGGGATACCACCAGGTCTGCAGCAAGCAGTGGCAAGGAAACTCGTCATGTGTCAACATGATGCTCCTCCAATTCCGTTTTCCCGAAGCTTCCAGCAATGGCTCCACTTCCATCATCACTCGGTGGATCTCATCATTCTCATCTACTGCATTGTAATCTGTGACAGTTGATCCTCTCTGTTTCTGTTTTTCAAAGTCACTGAAGTTCCCGCTCACATATCCCATGAACTTCTTTCCTAGTATTGACTCCAACTCCTCTTTGGTTCTCTCTGGAACTGCTGAGAACATCTTACATAGTAACTCGTAAGACTTTTCAGACATTCTCGCCAATCTCACGCACTTTGGCACTGAGAAAGCTTGATCCACGATCGTTCTTGTACTCTTCACGTCCACAGCCACGAAATGTACAGGGTATCTGCTCTTGCACATTGGAGCCAACGTTGAACCCACCAAATATCGTGCTCCTGATGGTCTACAATAAGTTTCGCTGTGTCTGATGTTCATCTCCGTTTCGATTGCTTCCCTCCATTTTCCTATATACTTCTGCTCAGTCTGCAGAACTCCTGGGAATACTTCTACGCTGATGGCTGTGACCATCTCATGTTTCTGTTCTAGATTCAATAGTGACTCTAAAGAACCAAACATGCTGTAGAATCCTAGTGCTGTCACCAGATTCACATCGGTTCCTCCATGGAAATCTGCTATCAGTTCCGTTTCCGTTCTTGCTTTCATCACTACATTTCCAAACAATACTGTCAACTGCTTGTGTTGTTTCTCCAGGGTTTTCACACAGTCTAGACTTCCACAAACGTGACCCTCTAGTCCACAGACTTCCGCCAGACAGCTACCAGGTTTGACCCAGTCTTCTGGTCCCCAGCCAGGCAACTCCACTCTATCTTCTCCGTTGCTCTTAGAGGCTGTTATCATCACATTATATATGATGTTGAGGTCACGCAGGTTACAGTCCGCATTCAGTTCCCTCTGTATGTCCTGTGTCGCCCGTAATATTGAGTCAGCGTTGGGACTAGGACACCACGATGGTTTCATCAATTCCCACACTGCCATCAAGCTCGTTCTCAGTAATTCATCTGAGAATCCCAACCCAAATTCCACTCTCTTGTCGGATTTTGGTACTGAAGGTGCAGTCACCTCTTCTTCCAAGACCAGTCCCAATTTGGCCTGTGAATTGTTGACGCTTTTAATCGTTACAATCCTGGACGTCCAGAATCTTAGTAACACCGCCTGCTCATAATCAAAGAAGCAATCGCGTATGTCTTCACTCAGGAAAGGATTGTACGCTATCCCTATGATCCCGGATACATAGCTATATGACTTCTTCTTGATCGGTCCACAGTATTCACTGGATTTCGGCAATGCTCCCATAGATTCTTTAGTGAGCCTCAACTCCTTGTTTGAGAATCTCCTGACCTCGTCTATCTTTTTCATGGGTTCCAATTCTTCAGGTTCTTTCATGTTCACCCTCATCGGTTTACTTTGCTGCATATCCAGCATTGCTAGTAAGAACATGGCTTTCGTTCGCTCATCGCCTTCCTTCAACATTTTAACACAAGTGCTTAATGCAGGTACTGAGATCTGCTCTATCAGGAATCGAATGAAACAGAGAGCGTCTCTCCGCTTTGCAAACGCTACTGCTGCTCCCTCCTGGACTATCAGATCCCTCAGATTCGTCATAAGGAAAACTTTTTCCTCCTTTGATCTCTTCCTTTCTTCCGAATCATATTCTTCGCGAGTCAGTCCCATCATGCACCAGGCGAGCCTGAGTTGTAATTCTGTCCCTACGTAAGGTACTGCCACGAGAGCATGTATTCTTGGCGTAGTCCTCATTTCCTCTTCGAAATACCTCAATACTACTGCTTTCCATGGAAGGCTCACCAACTGCTCGATCGTCTCCGCCTGTATGTCAGACGACGCCAAAGTTCCGTACGCCTTCTGCTTGAGGGTGGTGCCTTGCAACATTGTTTCCAGATAACCCTCCATGGCTTTTTCCTCTTCCAGGGCCACTACATACCCTCTAGCCGAGTTTCGGTATTCCAACATCTCCATGTATCCACCGGTGGGTTCATCTATCGACACTGTCTCAGACACTGTCAGTCTGTTGTATTCCACTGGTGTTAGTTGTCCTGCAACACTTCCCTTTCCATGATTCATGGGAGATGGCTTGAAGTCCCTCATTTTACTCTCTCCACATTGACTGAGTATTTCCATTTCTAAAGTCGCTCCAGTCAGAGTGCGGTCACTCCTTTTGGATTTATAACCGGTTGACTTTATCCCCGCCATGAGAATGGGTGGCACCATCGCTATATCAGTTAATATTCTATCTGTGCCAGACAATTGATAATCACCTTGCCCCAAATCCATGACTTCCTCGACTCGTTTTCTTTTCGCTGAGTTACCAGCTTTCATCGATATTTCCGAATCCACTTTCGTCTTTCCAATCCTCCTCGGCATCACTCTGCCGCCTAACTTCATTTTCATCGCATTGATTTTATCAATCACCATTTTCGATCGCATCGTTCCTCTCCTGGTCCTTGACAGGTATTCCACCTCTCCTTCATTGTCCTGCGGTGTCATCTTGATGGGAGAATTCGCTTCACTCTCATCAGTGGCTGAGTCGATCAATAACTCACTCAGTCTCCCTTCACACTCATCAAGCTTGTCAAGTACTTCTCTCATCAAGGGTTGATTGAGACCTGTTTTGAGAATGGACTGGGTCCCATAGCTCTGAATCACAGTCCAGACTTCTTCCATGAACGCCACTCTGTCCAGCTTACATCCCGTCCTACTCTCGTGGTCTCGGTGATGTACTTCCCATTCTTCTTCGGGTAGCGTTCCCAAGAAAGGTACTCTGGCTGAGGCCTCTATTCTTCTCCTCCGAGGTGATTCCATGAGGATTCTCTGATCGTTATTTCTTGTATTGCCAGGAGAGCTGCTCTCCGGCAAATTCCGTTTCATTTCCTCAAAGGCTGACGGAGGTTCCAGTGTCGAGATGCCTTCATCCGCTGGCTCAGTCGTTTCCAACGTGTCTGCATTATTCTCAAGATCACTGAAGATATTGAAATCCAGGCTGGATGTTCCTCCTGTCGATGCCCTGTCGTCTTCTCCACCAGCTTGATCTTGTTGCATGGGTTCTTTCGTCTGACGGTTTCCACCCTGTCCGTCATCTCCTTCTGACTTGTCCCCATTCGAGTTCGATGGTCCTTGTTTGTCATCATCAGCTTCTTCCTGGAATCTCGGTATGAGCAATGTACCGGCTGAT